ACCAATGTCGTCAAATGTATAAAGTGGTCTTCATAGTAGACCTAACCCATGGCCCTTTCATTAAGCCAATTAATTGCTCCAATTAGCTCTTAAGTCCAAAAAAAATATAGAAATGATAATGAGGAAAACTTGCACTGTATGCAGAAAAAACTGAACCTACAAAATGATGTCTATTTGAATACTTGTAATCGACGAAGTCATTGAGATGTTGGGAGAATCACTAAGTAATCGAGAGAGTTGAAACGCTGAGTTAAAAATTGCGACCTCTAAAAGCCTTGGTGAGGTACCACCAGTTTAACCAATCTCCATTGTCTCTGATCCCTCAAGTAGTGAATTAATGCATATACAAGGCCTACCCGTCTATGCCCTTCAACCCAATCGAGGCAGAGAATCTAAAATGACCGAGGCCAAGTTAGATGTAAGATGATGTGTGTACTCAAAGATGCAGTAGTCCTCATTTATTTAATCTTGTTCGTTTTAAAGGAATTCAAAAGATGTTTTTTTAAAGTTTCTATTAAGTCGAATATATTTTTCTTTATTAACTCATCTAGAGCCTTGTTATCTTGATCGACCAGTCAAAACCCCACCTTTACCTTTGCAAATTGGCTCTGGAATCCCTTCGCTCTCCGCTTGCTCCTCAGATTTACCTGTTGTGTGATAACAAACGGTTATTGATTAGAACTAAGTAAAGTCGCTCAAAGCGTCGAATAGAATGCAATTAAGTAACCCTCATGGCCACTGAGTAGGTCAACACAATTATAGTCAAATTGATAAGGTGCGTCATATAAAATAACCCGGAAAATGGCCCGAAAATAAGCCAGGTACATGGCCTCGTTGGCTTTTAACTTCATATAAAGAAAAACGAAAACAAACAAAAAACAAGAACTTGCACTGTATGCGGTATTAAAGAAACGTGCTATAAAATGCAACGTTCCGAAAGAAATCATCGCTTTTACCTTCCTCAGTTCGCTCTTCGGTATCAGGACTTTTTTCTTCTTCTTGACCTACAGAAATACGTCATAAACAAAAGGTACTCATAGAATGATGTTACTATTTTTTTTTCTTTTTTCATTTTGGGAAGATCATCATTATTCAAAACAACGACAACTTCAAAATTTAAAGGATTAAGGAGAAAAATGACCCATTAGATTCACCCCAAGTAGCGGTAACNGATTATGTATACAAAACAATCAAAAAATGCTCAAATTGCTGTCAAAACTTATGTCGTTTTTCAAGATTTAGTACTTTTTATTGGTTCAAGTGTTTTCAATTCGTGGCGCTGCGCTCCGAGATTCGTCTGTAGTTTTTAGCTTCTGACGCGGCATTTTGGTTTCAGTTACTATCGATTTTCTCGAAAAGAAATCAATATTCAGCCAAACGAAACATGTAGCGGTTGGTTTCATTGTAAAGCCCACATAGCTTGAGAATATGGGCCGAGTCAATTTTATGGCTGCTGCCACGATATTTCGAAAATTTTTCAATTTTGGCCACATTTGTTCTTGAGCGTTAGTTTATTGTTTTGTAGAGTGATTTATTTCCCCATTAAACAGACAAACCAAAAACCCGGATGTCAAAATCATCGTCATAATCTGTTTCAAAGAACAAGTAGATTAAACCATGTCATGATGCTGATGGTTGGTGTTTTCTTTTGAAAGAAATTCCTCTCAAATGCAGTTTTTACATAAGTTAATATTCGTGTACATTCAATTATTCATTGATTCATGAAATAAGATTGTAAAGCCTAGTTTATACGTCGCGCTACAGCCGACTTTTCTTCAGACGAATTTAATTCAAGATCCCACAGGCAATTAAATTCGACGATGGCACGATGTCTAAAGCGAATTCAATTTGTCTGCTAAATTAAATTCGTTTTAGACGTTTTATCCGTCTTGGCAAGACGGATAAAATATCGATAAGGCGTCTTCAGTTTTAACGTCGCACTAGCGTCGCGTCGAATGAAATGCATACATTTTCTTAATTTATTTTTGCGAGCCCGCAGTGATCCGTGGCTAGCCCGCAATGACCCGTGGAGAGCTTTTCGAGTGACACCTCTGACCAGAGACACTGCATTTAGGAAGAGAATGAAATTCGACCGTATTGATTCCGGCGCATACAACCACACCACGATTTATGACGATGGAACGACGAATTTAATGGAATTGAATTCGTCTGAATTAAATTCGACTGTAACGCGACGTATAGACCAGGCCTAGGTTATCCAGTAAAGGCATTTAAAAAAATATAAGTATAAAAAAGAAAAAAAACAGATGTCATTTTCGGTCAAGCTTACTGTTCGTTTTATTGTCAGCAAAGGACTCACGTAACTTGTACCAAAGTTTAATAAAACACGATCGATCACTTAGTTGAGTTAGCTATTAAAAATATATATATAGAGAGCGAAAATTTAAAAAAATAATAATAAGGCTAATACTGCTGCCAAGGAAATTTGATAGCACTCGTTTCTCTCTTTTATTCATTCCCATTACATCATTCCTTCCAAAGCATTGGCGATTCTTAGACATAGTTGTAGAAAGCAGTTCAAGTGGGATGAATGGAATACTAATCTTGTGCGAATGAAGCGGTTATCTATGACTTGATTTCATATTTCATTGATAAACCAAATTTGAAATTAAAAAAGAAGCAAGTAATAGGCAAGGAAATTTATTTCAATTAATAGGAATTTGTACCTGAAGGAGATATGGCGTCATCCCCTCCACATGCTTGTTCCACTGCTATCGATGGAGTAAATGATTTTTTTTAAATAGAGTTATTTATCAAGTAATAAATTAGAAAACTTGATACCCTGAATGGTTACTGTCAATACACATTACCAGATCTGTGTCATAAGGACGACGCAGGTATAAGTTTTAGACAATACGACGTATATGTTACTTATATAAACAGATGATCATGAGATTCTCACAAGCGAGGTTCAGAAAGTGCGTTAAGAAAATTGTCATCAGGATTTTGCGAGTTGATTTAGTTTCTATATGGATTCCTCTTGCAGTTATCAAACAAAATTGATAACACCAAATTTCTTCCCACTTATGTCATATGGGGAAACCATTGCTCAATCCTTACCTATTCTATAGTGCACAAACTTATGTGTCCGAGCCTGGTAAGGAATGCTATGATTTCATTCTGGATATCTCAGTATTTTCAAGAGCTACCGTTTGGTAGACTAATCAATTCTGATTAAAATGATTGAAATCAGGGGTTTGCCATTTCATTGTCCACTTTACTAATTTTGAAATGACGTATCAATAAAAATAAGTAAACGGATAAAGCACAGACCTTGTTGCGGAGCAGGCAACTCAGGGGCTTCCGCTTCTGGGATTTCTTTCTGTTTTATCTCTTGCATTTCAATTTGTTCTCCTATGGGAAAGAAATTGCAAAACAAATGGGATTACGAATGGGGCAGAATGAAACGAGAGCCAGGTACTACACGCAGAGCCCCTACCGAAGAGGGGAGGAGACTTTCTATATATAATTACACTGAGAATACCCATATTTTACCGTTGTTAGCATCTTACCTTCAAATCCGATCTGACCCTGCTGATCATTTTCTGCTTTTTCTGTTCAATAGAACAACAGCAATAAATCTGTACTGCTCTTCTCCAACCGGAAATAAACTTATGTCAAGCTTTTGGAAATATTGATTTGGAAAAATAATTCTAAATGGTCGCTTTGTATCTTCACCTTGGAACTAGAAACATCTCTTTATATTTTAAGAATAATTTAGAAAATTCCGTTCTTCATAATTCAAGAAAGTTTGCAAAGTGAATTCAATTAGATCCTAACATATACCTTTGAAGACACCAGCCAACATACATTGGGATCAAATCATGATTTCAAATGGCGTCGTTGCCCCTTTTGAATTCGTTAATTTATTACTTTGTCCCCAATTCTACCTTTAAACCTAGAGTCACTCGCATGACTGATTTCATCTTACCTACTTCTTCTATAGCAATTCATGATCTTGATAACAATCCTGTTTTCACATTTTGCTTCTTACACCTTTGTGGTTTCAATAATTAATTTATTCTATTGGAAATAATGTCTGTTTTTACCATTTGAAAGCAATTTCACCCATATCCCCTTTGAAAACTTGATAGTATAGGTAAATAGAACATCAAACTGAACCTTCTTGATTTTGTCCCTTGCTGAAAATAGAAAGAACATTGGCCCACAGCTTCCTCAGTTTTACTTTCAACACGGCTTGCACCTATACGTTAGAAATTCATGGGCTTGTTAGTGATCTGCATGGGTATTATCAACCGTGAAAAAGCAAGCCAAAAAAGAACTGTACAATCATTTATTGCATTTTGATCTATGCGACTTTTTGTGTCCCTATTTCGGGTTATTTCGCAAAAAATAAACTCCTCTCGAATGAAATGTGATGGTTTCAAAATATTTCTTGTCCGTCAGGGAAAAAGAGACCGTCGTCGAAGTAAAATTATCGCCAACATCTCTGAGGAACATCTATCGGTGTTTGTTTCAAACAATTATCTTGCAGTGTGTCTGTAAACCTAAAAATGACAGTTTGTCCTATGCCGAAGAAAGATAAAACTGTTACCTGTGGAGTAGAAAGGGTATACAGCAGTGGGTTTATAGCTGAATTGATCGGCAGGGCGAACACTGCAATCCACACCGCCAGATCACCAGGTGGATCAAACGTTTTCTCGACGTGCGACTTGACGCCAATGGCAATTATTGGTATCCAACACAGGAAATCGGTCAGAATAATAAAGAAGACTCTCTTAGCAAGTGCCCTTTCTCTTTTGGCCTGTGCACTTTTTACTCTTGTTCGTATTTCACGAGCAGTTCCATGCGCACCGAGCCGTCTGCTTGAAGACCACGATTTCAACAAGATGGCAACATAAGCCACCATAATGAAGATGAAAAGAGAAAAATTTAGCACGATAAAGATAGAAGTGGAGTATTCCCAGCCTTCTTGTAATTGCGGGGAAAGTTGCAGGGGCAGGCACACAACGTTCTTGCCATAATACCAGTCACCAAAGTAGTGCATTCCAGACAAGGGAAGGAATGCCATAATGCCTCCCACCAGCCAGATCACTGCGCACATTATACGAGTCTGCCTCGGTGTAATTTTTGCAAACGTGTAAGGAAACACAATGTTCTTGAGCCTGTCCCATGCAATCAGAGAGATCATCATAACTGACACCTCACTTGAAAGGACAGACATGGCGCCATTGAAATGGCAAAACCAACCGGTGCGCCACTTATAGTCGTGCATGTAGTATTCCCCTGACCATTGGAGGTCTTTTATACCAATAATGATAAGGTAAATACCCATGATGCCATCTGATATACCCAGATTCACCAACATGATAGACTGGACCATATTGCAAAGTCCCTTTAA